ACTGGACTCCCATATAGCCAACTGTGGTTTGAGTCCTGGACCTGGTGGATTACTTTCTCACTTTCCCTCTTTCTGGTCAGAGTAAAAAATAACAACAAATGGAATTAAATAAATAACTTAAAAAAAAAAAAGAATCAGGCCTACTTGTCTCAGGAGTCAGAACCTGGCTGGGAAATTCCAAGAAAAATACATTTTCCCAGACTTTGAGAAAATCCTTTTGTTTGTTCACCTTCACTTAAATTCTCCCCAAATGTCAGCATGTTCTAAATTTGAGTTCCTCTCCCTTTCTGATTTTCATCTGTGCCCTTTCCACCATCTTGAACACCTACGTTGTCTGCTAGGAGATATCATATTCTTCCTTGCTAGTTGCAAGAGTAAACTTGATTTAAGAAAATCTCCACCCCTCATCTGCTCTCAGTGACATTTTTCAATGGGAATAAGCAGCAGCACTTTCTGCCTGGTTCTCCTTAGAGAAATATCACTAAACGAGATGAATTGCTTGTAGCAGTTAGAATGGTGACTACAGGTCATTAAATGGACTGGTTGCTTCTGTTAGTAAGTTGTTTTCCTCCAGCTCCTCTCCCAGTGGGAACTGTTTTATGCCTTTACTATAGCGCAAGTGTGCTCACCGGAAACCGAGAGAGATGTGAGAAATCATCCCCTGGGGGGGATGGCCAAGCTGCAATCCCTTTTCCTCTTAGGATTTTAGGTACACATGCATACATACCTGATGTGTTTTCAAGCCACTGGGTCCAGGACTCAAACTGCACAGTTGGCGGGATCCAGTGCCTTGACCACCATGCCATCTGCTGGCCCCTGGAAATTCTTTTATCCATCCCTCTAAAATCTGTTTCTTTCAAGAACTTTCCTCACTCCTGGCCTGCATGGGCCATGTCCACCCCAGTTGAAAACAAGGACAGGAGACTCTTTGCCAAAGTTAAAAGCGCATCAAACACGCCTAGCATTTATTAATCACAAACCTACAGACCCCTCAGTACACCCTCCTTGGGGCCTGGCCCCAGCAATCCAAAGCTGACAACCACGGGTGTAGGTGGTAGAGGGGTGGGAATGGGCGGGGGGAGTGACTCTTGATAACTCTGAAATGGGAGGACTCCTCCAAATGGAGAACAGAGTGAGGGCTGGAGGTTGGGGTAACCTAGCTTCTGAGTAGGGGTGGGGTCAATAAAAAAATCAGATGAACACACAAGGGGGTACAATATGCTTGTGCAACCCGCCCTCCAAACCTCTGCCTCAGTGTGGGAGGCTTCCACTTTTGCCTGAGCTGGAGAACTCCCTGGAATGCCCCTTCCTTCAGCATGGTCCTCTGCACATTGAAAAACAAGAGTCCTGGTTTTGGGAATCTGGACCCACTCCCTGCTAATCTCAGTCACCTCCCCAAACAGCCCCTGAAGGCAGAAGGCAGGGAACTCTGCCCAAGGGTAGAAGCCTATCTCTCACTCCAGATTCAGGTCTGGAAAGTCAATCAGTAAGGTTTCTAGATAGGCCCCCTTTCCCAAAGAGCAAGGTAGGTAGGCTCAGAGCCCTCCTGTTAGGTCAGGTTGGTCCCAGGTTAAGGCTGGGGAGCTTGAATACCACTCCCTCCAGCAGCATGGAATGCTTGGATGGGATGTTGCTAAGGTGCAGGGGCTGTGATCTCCACCTGGGTGACCTGAGCTTCCAGATTTCTCCACACCCGAAGAAGTCCAGTGCTGTTCTTATTAAGGAAGGGGTGGGGCCTGACTCCTCCAATCTTAGGGCAGGACTGAGCTCCTAGGGAAGGGGCCGGATTTCATCCTCACTTCCAGTCTATGCCTGGGCCGAGCAGGGTTCATGAGGAAGGAGCAGGGCTTAAACCCCCAAGGGTAAAACCTCCATCATATGGGGTCCTCCTTCCTCGCCAGGATGAACTGGACTGTTGCCCCTAAGAGAAGGAATGGAGCGGCACCCTGACGTCACTTCTTCCCAGGAGACCAAGCTGCACTGTCCCTAGGGGGACAGGGGCGGGACCTCATCCTGTCTCCTCCCTTACCTGGGCAAGGGCAGGTCACATGGGGCAGGAGCAAGGCTGGGACCCCCAGAGGACCTCACCACCTTCCAGTGCCTTCTCCCTCAGAAATACCTGCACTGGGCTGTGCCTTTGGGAAGGGGCAGGGCCTCATCTGACTCCTCCTTCTTGTCAGATTACAGGGGTGGGGCCTGATCACATCTCCTCTTCCCCCAGAACACCTGGGCAGGGCAGTCTCATGGGAGGGTGGGGAAAAGGCGGGGCCTCATCCTGACTTGTCCTCCTTTCCTGGGTGGGGAAGTCCCAGGGGAGGGGTGAGGCCTGATCAGGACTCCTCCT